AATAGATCCAGTTTCTCTAGTCTCTCCTCGTAAGGCTTGGTCTGTAGGCCCTTAACCATACGAGTGGCCCTTCTCTGGACCCTCTCCAGGTTATCCGCATCCCTCTTGAAGTGCGGCGCCCAGAATTGCACACAGTACTCCAACTGCGGTCTGACCAGCGCCCGATAGAGGGGAAGTATCACCTCCTTAGACCTATTTGTCATGCATCTGTTGATGCACGATAAAGTGCCATTGGCTTTTTTGATCCAGGAAGTATATGAAGTTCACCACAGAGATTACTACTGCCAACCTATTGAATGAGGGAAGTATTACAGTCCTTTAAAAGACAAATAGAACTGTTGAATAAAATAGGTCCTATGTTGCATTCATAGAATTTAAATGCTATTTAAATTCTAAATTTTGAAGCAAAAGTGTTTTTTCAGTTCTTTAGTTTGTGGAAGGTATTTTCATCACAAATAGAAAGTATAATTTAAATGAAGAATGAAATATACTTGTAAAGGGTTACATCTATAGTTTTGAGAACATCAAGTTCTAAAATATGTATGCAAAAGGAAGGACAAGTACAAAACACCTTTTTTGTATATGGGAATGCAAGCTTGTCTTTTGAAAGTATTTGAAAGCAATTTTACCAGGAAACCTTGGTCACCAGAAAATGTCAATGTGTTGTTGATAGATGTGACATTTTATTTTGACAATATATCTCAAATTGTTGAAAGCAAATGAGCAGTGAGAAAAAGACCATCCTGTACTGAATCTAAAATTCTTGCATCTGTTCTCTGAGTCCTCTGAGGGGTTTATTTTCATGGGCTCTTAGTTATAATTTATTACTGTTAGTTCTATTTAATATGAAACTAGTAGCCAAAAATAACAATTGGTATTTAAGACCCCATTGTATTATGCATGGTAAAATATATAAGACAATTCCTGCTCTGACAATGTCAGTTATTGCTGAAATTGAAAAATTTTTTTTTGAAGATTGTCTTTTTATTTTCTTAAAAGAGGCATTTGAACAGTTAAGGTGTTGTCTTAGTACTGAAATTTGAGAAGAGATATACTAAAAACTCTGTTTGAAAGGAAAGTCTCAATTGGGCTAAAAATAGTAGTAGTAACCATGGGAGACTTTCTAGTCGTAGAAGTTGCTGTTCTCTAAGATTATTTGGACCACTATACTTATGGTTATAAACCATAATTGTGAATGATGGGTTCAGAGCAAAAAAACCCAATAAACCCACAGTAGAAGATTCCTTTTGTAAATCACTGAACATACAATATGAGTCTCTCTCTTTCTCTCTCTCTCTCTCTCTCTCTCTCTCTCCTTTTTCTTTTGAACATTCTCATGACTTGCTTTACTATTGTAAATTGCATTGATTAGAATATATAGACTTCATAGGAGAATCTTTTGGGGGAGTACTGAGGAAACTATCCAAGGGCAAGAATTTAAAAGGTTAGCTGGACTACGTCAATTCTTTATATGGAGAAATATTTAGTACCATTCTAAAAGAGAATTACAAAATTGTATAGTGTCTGCCACCTCTGGCTATACCTGTTAACCTAGCTAAAGCACTGACACTCATAGGGAATACATCAAGCACGATCAATATTTATAGAGAAAATGGGAAATGTCATCAATTATCTAGTGACAGATGTTCATAACTTGAAGGCATGTTGACAATTCTACAATAAACTGAGGAGAATATTAAAGTATTAATCATTTTGATAGTGACCCTAGCTTACTGGACCTTATTTATTTATTTATTTTTAATGTCTGCTTGATGTCATTTCAGCAATGTCATCGCAGTTTAGCCTTTGGAAAACAATTCTGAAAAATTCTGCTCTATACTGTATTCTAGGGGGTCTGCGAAGCAGGCCATATTCAATTTGGATTCAGCCCAGTTATATGTTTTTTCTACATTCCTTGAGGTACCAGGCATGGCTTATGAAAGCTGAGATGGTGGGGTGCATGGAGTGCCCCACAGGAGTGTGGGGGACCCCCCGCCTCGTGTGCTCAGTGGCGGACCCAGAAGTGGATTAGAAGTACTTCTGGTCCACTTCTAGGTCCACCACTGAGTGTGTGGGGGACCCCCCCCCGGCACCTCCCTGGCTTAGCAGTCGGCTGTAGGGGGACCCTGGGTGCCCCCCTGACCCAGGAGGTACCAGTTGCTGAGCCAGGGGGTGGGGGAGTCCCTTGTGCACTCCACGGCAGACCCAGAAGTGGACCAGAAGTGCTTCTGGTCCACTTCTAGGTCCACCATCAAGCACACTGGGTTCCCCCCCAAGATGCTCCTGTAGGATGCTCCATCTGCCCCAGCATCTCAGCATTCATGAGCCACCTGGTACTTTGACTGTAGAAAAAACATAAAAAGCTGTGTCTATGTCCAAATCGTCAAATCTCTCCAAACTGAATGTGAGGCTTCCAATTCAATTCAGAGAGATTAATGGGCCTTTTGATTCAATTCAGATTTGGAGATTCTACTGCTGAATCACGCCAAATCTCCACCAAATTGGATCAGCAACTGAAGCTTCACACAACCCTATTTTATTCTGTTTTAAAATGGTATATATAGAAGTATAATGTATAGCCCTAGACATAATTTGTGGTTCATATCTT